TAATGAATGCCGGACCTCCACTATGCCTCTGTGTGATGCAAGCTGAAAGGTAAGACTTTATCAACTACTAAACTTTATTCTCTTTTCACTGCCTCCTTTCTACATCTTTATCTTACATAAACAATAAGCTTAAACTGAATGGAGCTTTTTTTACATACTACAATTCAACAAATAACTCTTGAATCAGAACTCCACCTTCAAACGGGCAGCTGAAATCTCTGCTTCTAAAGAATGAATAATCCAATATTGGTGATTGTTTGCCTTCTCAAAAGTTGTAGGCACACTGCAATGGTTCATTTTACACCTAGATTCTCAATTTTGCTGTTTCATTACTTGCACTTTCCCATCAAACCCAGACCCTTACTGAATTCTACCAGGGCTTTTTGGGCTCCAGTCATCCCTGCCTATTGCCTATGAGTACTGACAGCAAAGGCTAAATCTATATCTGGTAGGCAGCAATCGAACAGTGTCCTTACCATAATAATTCCATGTAGTTATACAGCTCTTGAATAACTGACATATGTAGCTTCTTTTCTGGGCCTCAGCATGTCTCTCATAGCCCTATAGCTCACCCACAGAAATGCAGTTATCCTTTTTTTCTTTTTTTCTTTCAAGCAGTATTAGCTCCCCACTGCTGTCTTCCCTGTAGTCCATGTCCTCATTCACGCCAAAGTAAGTAATTTTCTTTTTTCATATTTGCTGTCACTGCTTCCATTTCTTCATTTCATCCTACGCTTCTTTATTGCTGTTATAGTTGTCCTTTTATCCTCTCTTCTAACTAAAAATTGTCTCAAGCCAAAACCACAGACACATATGTGAGCAACTTCAAACCAGTCCTGGGGTCCCTGAAGTCTTAATCCAGATCCAATTTTTGCAGCTTGAGCCATCTCTAATCCCTAATTGCTCCTGTCATCTCTTTCTCACAGCCCTGGCTGTAAGCCACAGTGTTTTATGCTGCCTTCTGTGCTTGGAAATAAAGTTACAATGCCCTCCTGTCTCTTCAGTCTTAAAAACATATTTATTTTCTGAATGCTTCCTTCCACTAACTTTTTTGCCGAAAATTTTGTATATGAGCTGTTGTCAGCATTTTGGCTATAGAGCATACTAGCACTCATGACATGTAGCAAAAGCCACAAGCAGCATGCTGCCTTGTGGTCACTCCCCCAAAGAGAGGACACCTACGTTTTTGTATATGGTCCAAGGACTTGGATTTGTAAAGCATTTTTTCTAATTAGTATTTCTTGTAAAATATATAAACAGTCCTCAGCACAGGAATTAAAAACCTGTGTGAGAATCCAAACCACAAAGCTATAAAGGCATATAACTCATGATGTTCTCTTTTTAGTGTAATAAGATTGCACACAGAAAATGGAGCAGGCACTGAAACCCAGAATGGCCTAGTGTTTTGGGCTCCCTGCTAGGAGGTGGGAAAACAGTTTTCCTATGTGCCTCAGGAAAGACAGAAAACTGGAAACAGGACTTCAATATTTTTCTGGGGGTATTCTGGTCACCAAGCTGGCGATACAACAGTAATATCAGCAGTAAATTCCCTCTCTGGGTTATAAAGGAACGCACTGAGCAGCATTGCATCGTATGTAGAGGGCAATGTCATATGCCTGTGCTAAACATCCTTTGAAAATATCTGATGGATTAAGCACTTTCAAGATCACTAATTTTGTATTCTTCCTCATATAGATTGCTTCAGTAATTTCCAAAGATCTATAGTTTTCTGTAGTGACAATACAGTTTTGCATGTGAAATTTCCACTGATCTTAATATACTTTCTAACTGAAGATGAAAGAAAAAATTTCTAGTCAATTCAGTCAACTTTTGCCCAGAAATTACACAAAAGGCTTTCATCACAACATTAAAATCATTACATTGTGGGGGGTTTTAAATTTCATTTTGATGATTACCTTTTCTTTAGGACTCTAATTGTGACTTGGGTAGACAAAGGTGACATTGCAGTAGTTTGTAGGAGATCTCACACCCAACTATTTATAAAGCTTAGGCCAGACTGTAGATACTGAAAGTTGCATGAACTGTAAGCTTACGTGACCAACAAAGCCAGATGCGATTCCTCAGAACACTGACACATCAGCTCAGGAAATGCCAAAGGATAAAGGTTTATAAAAGTCGCATTTGTGAAACAGTCAGCTGTAACTTAGGAATTTTTATATTTTTTTTTTTAGTAAAAACACTTCTGCCACAGAAAAGAACAGATCTACTATGCTATATGTGATTCATATATTATCTAATAATTAGAGAAATGTAGGAAGCACAGCTAAAACAACAAAACAAAACACAAACCAAAAAACATAAACCAAAAATCCAAAACACCAATAACCTCTAACTTAATGAATTAACTAAAAAATAGGAAAGATGATTCAGTTATAGGTCTAAGCAAGACTGTGTCTTCAATGCAGAAAGTCTGAATTTTCCCCATTATGAAAGATTGTCAATAACTCTAGATAGAATTACATGAACTAGTACTGTAGTTCACAGGCAAGACTTTCAACATGGCTGTGACTTAATGGGTGCCTGACACAAAACAAGCAGCAGTCTTGTTAAGTTCCTTCTCTAGAGAACCTGATTACAGACATTGTCCAAAGTAGCAAATTAATCTCAACTTTTTACAGTCAAATAATTTTGATAATTTAAACTGTCTTATATTGGATTTACAATGACATACGACAGTGCAGAATAAGTCCAATTACTCCACATCAGGAAGTACATTAAGAGCATTCTTACTCAACCTCTGGGTTTCAAACAATTGATAAGAAGTGACGAACTCCAAGACATCACACTGGCCTAAGCCAAGAACAAGTAAGGAGAGAAAATTCAGAACTATTGGTGATGGAAGCAGAAAACACGGCATAATTAGGTTTGGTAAGAATTCCAAGCGAAGACAGAGAATCCCATGCTTCCCCCTTTAGGTAGCAACTGCTCACACATAAAGGTTCATGCCAGAGCCATTCCCTTTTCTCTCCCCTGCTTTCCCAGTATTTATACATATGCCAACATTATAGGAAAAATACATGACGGCATTATGGAAACAGACTTTTTGTAAGATCCACTACTGTCTCTGTTTTATCTGGATTTTAGATACCCCAGTAATGTTTTATCTCGGTTTATATAACAAAAATAACAACAGAATACAGAGAACCCTGAAAATTAAACAATCATTAAAAATCACTTCTTTTATGATTATTTTTCTTTTCTTTTCTTTTCTTTTCTTTTCTTTTCTTTTCTTTTCTTTTCTTTTCTTTTCTTTTCTTTTCTTTTCTTTTCTTTTCTTTTCTTTTCTTTTCTTTTCTTTTCTTTTCTTTTCTTTTCTTTTCTTTTCTTTTCTTTTCTTTTCTTTTCTTTTCTTTTCCTTTCTTTTCTTTTCCTTTCTTTTCTTTTCCTTTCAGGTGATCTTTGGTGTTCTTTTTTAAGAGAATTTATTATCTTTTTCTGTCCTCCTCCCAAGAGAGCCAAACTAATTTTATAACGACATAAGCCTACTGAAGTGACACTTAGAGGCAGATGAAAAGCAGAGTGTCTGGTTTCGAGGATTATTTTTTTTTAACACTTAATTTTGGTTGAAATTGAAGCAGGACAACAAAGGCAATTATAGTTTCCAAAACTGCAGATCTAAGACAAACTGACTTTCTCATGAGCTAACAAGACATTGAGTTTCACTGAGCAGTTTTAGAAGCTTCCCTTTGCCTCTATTTCACAGAACATCCAGAAATACTGTTGTCCCTCTCCTGCCTGTGTTCCTGGAGGCTCTGTCACAGGGCTGGGGCACATGAAGCTGACAGACTTCTACAGTATGGATTCAGTTAAAGTCATGCTGTGTTTTCAGAAATTGCCTTTATTCCCAGGATGTTATAAACAAATTAATTTGAGTAAAGACAATAAAAAAATATGCCTAGGTATTATGAGACTGCCTTTAATATCATGCTTGTACACGTTATCAGTTCACTAAGGGCAAAAAATTAGACCCCAAATCTGGCAATAAGAAGTATGGGAGATAAGAGAGGAGACTATCACCTGTGGAACCCACAAGCTGTGAATGAGGCAAGGAATTTCAGGGAAGCAAATCTAGGTTTCCTAACTAAAGCATGTCCCAACAAAACTTAATTCTACCATCTGTCTCAGACCAAGCATTACCATGAAAGTCTAGAAAAATTACTTCACCCAAGTTTTCAAGGGAGGTCCAATAGTTTTACCTTCCTCATTGTGCCTGTGCTGCTCATTTAGGACATCTAATTATCTGTAGAACAGAGCTGTCAGAGTTACCACCAGTTAGGAGGATTTGGGCTTTTAAGTCAGAACATGCCACAGAATGCTCTAAAAATTCTGAACTAAAGCATCTTAAAGTTGGCATCCAATATCTGTATACCTTAATGTTACTTTCAGTCAATTCACTGTCTGTAAAGTGAGGATAACAAAAGTCACCCTCTTGTAGTTGACAGATGAAAAGAAATTAATTGCCTGTGGAGTGCTTTGATACTGGAGTGCTGAACATCACAGAGAAACCCATGAGGAAATCAATAATTCTGTCTTCAGCACGAAGTTACACAGTGTGCCTGGAACCACATAATGTGCAAGAGGAAAAGAAAGCAATGAAGATTTGTTGACAGAGACAGCTCTGAGTAGGGAAGGTGTGCATGCACTTGCTCCCAAACAGTAATGCAGGTGCCCAGTATGGCCAAACTAATACTACACGAGATCTTCATGATGATGTTCCCTCACTTTGTTAGTTCTTAATTTTCCTACATTTTAATGCAATTTCCTGTGTATGATACTACTCCAGTGCTAAGTAACATGCAACTCTTTTATTTCCTGTCTAGATTAAATATAATGTCTTTATAGGAGATCCTCTTCGAAAGCTATGTTTTAAAAGTCAGTGAAGTGCAATGAATGAACTAGCTGTTGTCCTATATTGCTTGAACTATCTGTGTCCAGATTTTGGAAAGGAAAAGGAAGTAATAAATTTTGCTTGAACTCACCACACATTTTAATTGCACAGAACTCCCAGGGGGTGTTAGGGTCAAGAGTGTAGCACCATGGTCTCAGCTTGCCATCAGGATTGCGGCAGTAATTATCATCAAAGCCCTTGTCAGGATATCTGCAAACCACAACGAGAAAAGTGTCAGGGAAGTCTTCTGCCAACACTGCACGAAGTACTTAAAGGACAGTCTTCAGCAGAGGCAAACAAGAACCAGTTACCATTAACCTTGGGTCCAATCCTGTGAGACTGATGCAGATGCTTTTCTGACACTATTAGATAGTTAATAACACAAAACCTCTTTCCAAATGTGCAGCAGAATCAGACCTCCACTGAGGGGATTCCCTGCTGTGGTAAGGCACAGGATACAGGATGGGGTAACTCTGCTAATTGCTAAACTCTTGCTCTTCTGTCAACTGATGATCAGACTCTAAAGCCACTTTTTTTTTTTTAAACAGCCCAATTAAGTGTGGATTATATAAACACTGCCTGGCATGCCGGACTCATTAAGAAAACAGGTTCTTCAGTGCAACAGCCCTGGGTTCAAACTGGAAGCTATTTTGAATAGCTGTGTTACTAATGGTAGCTCCATTTTTGTAATAGAGCTCATTCTAGGTCATGCCCTCATTTCAAGCATTGGGGAAAAAAAAGAGAAAAGTAAGGAATTAACTTCCATCTGCTTTATCTTATTAAGATTTGAAACCATTGTGCCATTTAATTGTTTCCATGTTCTTACTGCCATCACTGAATGATCAGGTGATATTCAAGATAAGAAGGTTCTTTTTCGTATAAATGTGCTATAAACTTGAAGAGAAGGAGAAGCATATATACTTTTTTTCCTCCAGTGAATGCAAACTGTCTTGGTTTTCCAGTTTTATTGAAACATGTTTGTAAAAGAAACAAAAAGTAGATATGCCCCTGAGGGAAACATGAAAAGCATGTAAGAGAACAATAAAGTTAACTACCTGGGAACCTGAACCCATTTACAACTGCAAACAGATGTGTTTCACACAAGCAGAGGAAAATACAATTTGCAAGTCTGTGTTTTTGCTAGGATGCCTTTTTTGTCAAACAATCATCCTAATTTTGACTCATGCATTTGCAACTTGATCTCCCATTCCTTGGGAAAAATCAGGTTCCTTCATCTATACAAGGGTCAGGGACAGGATTTAAGTTGACTTAAAAAACAAAAACAAACACAAAAACCCAAAATGACCAAGGTGAAACCTTAAAAAACTGAGAATTCAAGGGCAATCAAGAATGTGGTAGTTTCAGATCTAGCAGCAGTACCCTGTTTTCTGCTAGGTAGAAGACAGAATGTAAAGGAACAAATTGTGTCCAAGGATTTTACAAGAAAACACTTAACGGGCTAACAATATAGCAGAAAACAAGATGGCTTTGATCACCCAGTAGGTGCGGTGATGAGCTTTGATGCTGGTAGCACATGCTCCATGTCATGTAGCAATGGATATTCTATGGCACTACCCAGGAACCAAGGTATGGCAAGGTTATCTGTAGTCACAGCTAACAAAAACCATTCAAAACAACAGGGGATGTAAAGAAACCACTCTTTCTAGATGGCAAGGGTATTTCATAGCACTGAATGTCCTGTCCTTCTTAATACTATATAATATATTCCCACAGTATGTAAAATATGTGTTATTTACTAACTAAAACTTAAACAGAGATGTTACAGTCCAGGATCAAGCTTTGAGTGTCTTTGTGGGATGGAGTAGTGTCCATGAACTGTATCTTTCCATCTACTATATCTATGTGCCCTTTTCTAGGGCAACAACAGCCTTCCCAGTCACTGGTTCCTCCTGCAATATTCAGGTGTGCTTCTGCCTTCCTTCATACCCAGCAAGCAACAGATCCTCAGTTCCTATACAAAAGACCAACTAACAACTTTAAGACACAAATACCAGGGGTAAGATAAACAACAGGGCTTCAAACTGTTCCACACAATTCAACAGTGAGACTGCGGAGGATTCCCTGAGAGAGACCTCATGCCTTTGCTCTTCACACTTCTGCTTCCCCAGTACACTTGGGCACAGACTTCTTGCTTAGATCCAATAAAGAGCCTGAGGTTTCCAATATCTTTCAGAAGCCTACGTATTTCTTTTTAATTCCCTTTGAAACTGCAGTAGCTGTACTTTACTGCTGAGACTGAAACGAAGCATTAAAATACACATGTGGTGTCAAAATCAAGACTTTTTTTCAGTTTCTAGGAGATGGAGGAAAGTGTCAGATGAAGAGATAATTTCTCTTTAAAGAGACAAATGTTGATCACTAGCTTTGCTGGAGCTAAACTGAAACTTAGTGTCTAAAACTCTTCGCCAATATTTCTTTGCCCCTTCTGTTTGTTTTAAAAGACATGCAGGACTAGAAACCTGACTGTGTATGCAACAAACATAAACTAGAGTATTCTGATAAAAGGATACCTGCAGTTACTCAACTCTTATACTACACTTCAACCCTACTTTCCTGCATGCAGTAGGTACCTATTTTCACAGAGTATTTGATTTTGAGCAGAAAATGTGAGCAAAAGAGGAGAAAAATTGCTTCTCTATGCTGCTCTATGCCTATTTAAGTCATTATCCTCAATGGTCTTCCTTCCATACTGAGGCATAACCCTGCCCATGAGGATTACACTAGGGAACTGGAACTTCAGAATACGACTCTACATCCACTAATAGCTAAAAATGGGACATGCAGGAGCTGTTTGGGGGGATTCCAGTTACTCTTCTGAAAACACATATAGATCAGTTTAATCTGGATGGGTCACTGGATAAAAAAGCAGTTTTATTACAGTTTGAAAACTCTCAAGAAGACACTTTCTGAAGGAAATCTTTCAAGGAGGAAGGCAATCATTCATGAAACTGCAGTTAGTCTGAAAAGTCATTTTGCAAACAACCCAAAATTAATGGAAAAAAACTCTTTCCTCCTGACAATAAAATTAAAATTATTGTTGTTTGTATCCAGAAGTTCTACAAATGTTTCACTCCCAAGGACCAAAATTTTTCCTGTGATTTATTCTAGAATGCACAGCAAGTGCATGGCAAAACTCAGAAACAGACCATCTTCAGTCCCAGCCTGCTAATACGAAATACTTATTGTAGCAGAACTATGGGAGAGTCTGCTATTATTCATGAAACAGATCATCTGAGCCAAGAGGAAAAACAAGTTACACTACATAAACTCCAGAACTGCAGATCCTTAATGTTTCGTTGAATTATCAAGCTTTCTAAAATCTACCAGTACCTGTATTTCCAAGTATAAAAATGATGCTTTATTTTGTGGAACACTTCAACGTATTTAAGGATACATTCTGCGGAAGGTCTCAATCATTTTGAGTTTGTTGATTCTTGCAGTCTCCCTCTGGCAGTTTAAATTTATTCAATCCATTTTACACATAGAGTTAATCTAAAATCCAGTGTAAAACTAAAATGAAACTTTATTCCAGTTTAAGAGAAACACAAAGGCCCTCCTGTGTGGCCTGAACCCCCACATAAAATCCTTTCAAAAGGCTGTATTATAGATGACCCTTTGTGGTCGGGTGAATTTTACTTTCTAGGACAAACCCTAATGGGGATTCAATTTGTCTTGTTATTTCTGACTCATCTTTTGGCATTATGAATGTATGCCTAAATTAAAAAAGAAAAAAGTCTACAATATAAATCCATGTGTGTAAAATGCTAGACAGACCTATGAACTCCTTTTCCAGGATGAAAAAACCCATGTAGCGGGCATTTTTATCAAACAAGTTGGATGCTTAAACCTGATTACAACAGAAGACCATCTACAGCTTTAAAGCTGTTCAATATTTCGAAAAAGAATCATATTCTAACTTGATAAGGTTGCAAGCTTATATTAACTAACTGTGTTAAGAACTCTAGCAAAAATCTATGACTTTTAATCGTTATTTACTTTGTGACTACTTCAAGGCATTTTAAGCTGACTGAAGCCGCATCACAACATATACAGAAACACGCGGAGGTTAATTTTTTACTATCAGTGAATCTAGGGAGGAAATTTTGATCCATTAATGCAGTGCATGTTCATCACTGCATAATACAGCCATGAGATGAAACCACTACTGCACAAAATAGCCTCTAGTCCCCATCCTGCATCTCCATCATGACGGTAGCCAGCCTGCACACACCATGGGCCAGAAATACAACCAACTAAAACTGGTGAACTCCATAAATTTCAGTTCAGCTAATGCTGATTTTGCCCAACTGCTTCCAGAACGTGTGTAATTTTCAGATTACAACCACATGGATTTGCTTGGGGGGAAGGAGAGGTTACCTCTCTGGACGAAATTTGTGCTTGTGTGGTCTCTGAAGATCCCAGCGCTGACACTCCTTGCCTGACTCGGTGTGATCCATCGGCCCTCTGTAACTCTCTCCATTGCAGGTCATGCATTCAACTAGGGAAAAAAATAGGTACTAGTCATTTATTATGCTGGTAACCTGTAGCACAAAAAAAAACTCACAAAAAAAACCCCAAAACCTTAAATCATATCCCTGCCGTTATACATTGAAACCAACCTAGAGAGGTATAAAAAAGAGGTCTCCTTTAGTTTAGTTGTTATGGGAAATGTCCTTTGGAATAGAATCGAATCGCTTGCTTAGATCTAATCTAGATGCTTAAATTTGGTTTCACTTTATAGGACACTTATGGTTTTGACAAGCACAGGTGTCAGCTGCTAGAGGCATTCATGCTCCTAGCAGATTTTTAAACTTAGCTATAGTTAGTAACAGAAAGAAACAAGTCTAAGGAAGGAGTATTTTTAGAAGTGATATTTTCTAATTAAGTAACATTCATTATTCTAAACCACTCTAATACAATTACAGCACAATTTTAAGTCTAGAATAATGGCTGAACCACATGCAGTAGAGTTTGTCTCTTTAAATTCCCAGCACTTTCAGCTACATATGATATTGGTTCTTCTCCATACTAATTCTTTTTGGCAGCTTAAACTATGATACATTTTCAGCCCTGGTTTGGGAAAGTGGGGGGTAGAGGAGAGTGGGCAAAAGCTACCAAAGGGATTTGAAATCACTGTTGAACAAAATATACTTCATAATTTAGAATGAGAAGTCTTAAAATATAAAATAAATTCACCATAATTAACTATAGATACATTTCTCAAGTGCCCCCTAATTAGAGTAATTGTAACGAAGCATCACTTAGTAAACACTAATTTATGCAATTAGAGATCTCACTCCTCAGTCAAAACATCCGCTATCAAAGTCTTCACCCTGCAGTGAGCTCCAGGTCCTATTCCATTTAAAGCTCACTTAAGTTGATCTTTAAATGTTAGCTTTTAATAGGTTTTCAAGCTCCTTGTAAATCATTCTCTTCCTCCGTCTCTTCCTCCCTGCCTCCCTCTCCCTTTTCTTCCCCTACCACTGCATAGCTATTGCAACACGACACATTTAGCAGGAAAATTAAAGGCATCCCATCTTGAGAATTTAAATGAGTTGATTGACTGGAACTGAATTGACTGATTAACAAGATATAAGAGCTTAGTTTGGAGGTTAACGGAACTTAACAGTCAATGAATGCAATGGTGCATGTGAATATCTTTCAAATTCTGTGCTTGAAAGTTGATTGGGATTGGATTAATAAGAAGTTTTATTTATTTACAGTGTCCATTTGAAAAACAAAATGCATGCTTAGATTGTGCTTTTGTCATGTAATTCAGTATCTATATTTTCATCAAAAAGAAGAAGAAAAGTTGATTTTACCATGGAATGGCACTAGATGATTTTATCACATAGTAATATTGAAATTGTTAATGGATTCACTATGGACTAGACAAGTGAAAAAAGGGTCACATTTGTGCGATCAGCACAACTTCATTGTTCCAGTTCCTCCATGACCTGAAAACAAGATGCTGTGCCTGAAAGCTTGTTCAAGTCTTCCAGAGTACTGGAACATAACAAGATCTCTTTCTCTAACAATTGCTTTTCTTGCTACATGAGTTTTCCTTGCTGAGAAATCACCTATTCTTTCTCTAAAGGCCATAAGCAAGTGTCAATTAAAGTAATGGAAGTTCTGCATACCTGCTGTCAACAGAGAAAAGTCAACTTTCCACACGAGCCATGACGGGTTACCTTGTGAGCACAGGGGGATGTCGCAGACTTCATGGCGCATCTCTGGACTGGTGGTGAAACACCATGGCCCTCCCTCTTCCCCTCGGGGGTTTCGACAGTAGTTTTCTCGCAGGTCTTTACCCCGATAGCTCGAAGGCAAAAAGCTAGTTTTAAAATGACAATCATTACAGTATAAGAGCATGCAAACTTCGGTGTTAATCATACTATTTTTTACAAACAGTCAGAAAAACAATCACATCTCTTCTTCCTTCTCCCTCCACCCAGCCTACACAAATGTACAGCCCCAAATATCTGTTCATACACAAATACACACCTTCAGTCATGATTACTCAATCAATGGCCTAAATCTGGGAAAATTTGACTAGCCCATAGCTTGCTCTAACGAGTTTTACTCCCGTCCCTTGGGTGTCCGGAGCCAACTATCTGCTGCAGAGCCAGAGACAACAGCGCACTCCCTGCCAGCCCTCACTGCACTCTCCTTCACGAGCTCCTAACTGCTCACACAATGGTGGAAGGCCCTTGGACAAGGGGGAAAAATGTATTGGGTGCATAGGGGAAAAATTCAGTGGGTCCATAGCCATGTCAGACCTGCCTTTCCTATGCATGCTGTGCACACATAGCAGGCCTAGTTGGCCTTAGTGCGCACTTACTATATAAAGCCCACAAACAGAGAAAACTCTTCCCATCCCTGATCAGGCAGCAGCTAGAACTGGGTATCAGGAGTGTGCAGGCGTCACTGAGTGGTGTGACACACCACGCTGAGATGCTTTCACTGCCTAAAATCATGGACTGCTTTGCATTTCATCATCAGGAGGTTCCCTAGATCCCACTTTATCTGTGTTGCTTCATGTCCTGCCAAAAGCCCCGCTCTTGTCACTTTAGGTTCTGCTGTCATACAAATTAGGTCATTTAACAGCAACCCAGCTGACGTAAACTGTGCTCTCTCTTTCATAATATTTTCTCCTTTTGCTGCAAGCACCTATTAAATAAGAATACCCCTTAAGACTTTCCTCTTAGATTAGGGGTTCTTAGGCCAACGCTAAGCACTTAGTGATTTTATAGAAATGTGAGCTAACACTGTATTTTTTACCTAACACACATTTTCAGTATGAGGCTTTGCTGCTTATGCTTAGTCCACCAAACATAAACTCTCCAGGGTCAAGGTTTTGTGTTCTTAGCTGTCCGTAAAATTATGGGCTTACCTCTAGAGAAACCCCTACATACACAATAACATATACAGATATATGTAGGCATATATATATATATCATAGAATCATAGAATCATGTTGGTTGGAAAAGACCTTTAAGATCATCAAGTCCAACCATTATCCTAATACTACCAAGCCTACCACTAAACCATGTCCCTAAGCACCATGGCTACATGTCGCTTGAACACCTCCAGGGGTGGTGACTCCACCACTTTGCTGGGCAGCCTCGACTCCACCAATGTCTAACTAGTCTTTCAGTAAAGAAATATTAACTAATATCCAATTTAAATCTCCCCTGGTGTAGCTTGAGGCCATTACCTCTTGTCTTGCTATTAATTACTTGGGAGAAGAGACCAACACCCACCTCACTACATCTTCCTTTTAGGTAGTTGCAGAGAGCAATAAGGTCTCCTCTCAGTCTCCTCTTCACTAGGCTAAACAATCCCGGTTCCCTCAGCTGCTCCTTACAAGACCTGTTTTCCAGACCACTCATCAGCTTCATTGCCCTTCTCTGGACACGCTCCAGCATCTCAATGTCTTTCCTATACTAAGGCATCCAAAAGTAATACTAGTTATATTTCCCCACAAACTAGGGAAAAGCTAACCCCATACTAAGGAGCCCAAGAGCTGGTTCCATTCAACACCTCTGCAAGAGCTCATGACCATGTTCAGGCTGCACATTGCAGGCAAACCCAGTGGCACTTCACTGCCAGTTTCATTGCAGTGATGCTTAAACAGCACCAAATCTCTGCAGTCAAAAAATCACATTAAATTCAGAACTGTTCTCAATTCTATGAAGATTTTTTGTTGTTGTTGTTAATTGAAATGTTGGGCAAAATACATAGGGTATTACACAAAACTTGTAATTCAACATACTAAATTGTTTTAATCTTTGAACTTTCTAAAATTTGTTCCAGGTTTTTTTCTTCAGTATATTTAAATTCTGGTGGAAATATCACAAGTAAAGTGCACCTTTTATTCTGAAAATGCCTAATACTTTATTTTAGGTATTTTTTTGGAGGCTGGGGTAGAGTTCTGTTTGTTTTCTGGTTTGTCTTGTTTTGGTGTGGGTTTTTTTAATCACATAGGGAATTCAAATGTATCTCTGTTCTAGAGGAGAAGAAAAACGAATAAAATTCCATCTAACTTCTTTTAGAAGACTGTAGACTTGCAGCTTCGGAAACTAAATAAGCACTTGGGACAGACTTTATGAACAGACACTGATTTAATTTACATACAAAAGCAGAAAACAAATGCATGGTTCCTGCTGCCCTTGGCAAATTCTATGTTACAAATTAATAATTTTTTTTTTTTTTAAAGAGAGAGAGAAATAAAAGGACAATTCTGACATGTGACATTTTAATCATGTTTTATTCCTGTTAATGAGATCTTTGAACTAACTGAAGTGGAAAACACCTCTGTTGATTGCATTGCAGTTTTAGTCAATGCAATGCGGAAGCACTACTTAAAAGTGCTTCTCTTATTTTTGGTGCTTGAAGAGAATAATTTTTATGTCATTACTGCTGCCTATAAAATTGTTCCTTCTGTTTCTCCTCTATAGTCTTGTGATATAAATATCTCACATTTTTTTATCTAAAGACAGCCCTGGGCAAACTTTTCTGACGGGATATTGCAACTTGTGTATGTGTTAATGTAGTAAGTCAGTGCATATTAGAATATTTTATTTGAATATTAGAATATTTTTTCTTATTAAAAAGTTAGAGTATTTTATTAGAATAGCATTATAAACTCAAGAAGGGTCAGACATACAGATGGTTTCAACAGGTACTGACGCAACATTCTTGAGGGAGGAAAAGATGAGATGCGGTAAAGACCTACCCAGAAATGGAAGACAGAGCTGCACCTAAAACTGTGTGCTGATTTAATTCAACTATATTAGGTAAGGAAAAAAATGAAAAAGCAAAAAACTGAAGCCAGTAAGATTAATGGCAAGAACAGATTCAACCACAGCAAAAGTAATGGAAACTAGCAAAAAACCTGCGAAGTACTGGCCTACTCTTTGACGATTTCTCTTTGAACCTTTTTTGCATTAGCTTTATCCATTTAGATAAAAAACTCTTAAGAGAAAAAAAAAAGATAGTCTTGTAATTTGTACTAGGATGGAGATGAAAATAATGGAATCCTGATTTCAGCTTCAAGTCTCCAGGTTCTACTGAAATACAAATGAATAAAAACATAACTTGTTAAGTCCAAGCACAAGTTTACAGTCTGAAGTTATTTCAATTCTTTCTAGAAAGATAATGAAAAATCAGTAAAGTACATTTCTCGCTTGAATATGAAAAAGGGATTTTCCAATGGTACTTTGTGATAATCAGATGTTGAGAAAAACTGACCTAAAAATCTAAGACTTTCATACTAATAAGTTCCAAACACACCACTACTGTCTGCTTCTTCCCATCTCCCTCATGTCTCTGATGATGAAATCATATTTTCTGATGTCGAAAAAACAATATTAGCATGCAGCCACCTCATTTATCCAGTGACCTTTTAAACATTAAACTTATTGCACAAGGCAGAAGAAAAGTTATTCTCATAAAATTCATCATAGAAGAGTGGCTGTCTAAATGTATTAGATAAAACTGTGTATGCGCTGTATCAAAATGCAATTTAGTGATAATATATACTATCCAGACACTTTCTTTAATTATATACAGTCATATGTACATTATCTAGAATAAATGCTCATTCTTGCTTGGGCTGTAATTACCGAGAATTCGCTCACTTCTAAAGGGTGAAGATTGTATACTTCAAGGTGTTGAGTCTCAAGAGGTCATTGCTGTGGGAGCTGATGGTATTTATCATATGCTTACAATTAAGAACCGGTCTGGTCCCACACTGAAAATCAGACACAATATCATCTATATTATAATCAGCCAAGTCCAGTCAAGTCCAAGCCTGAGGCTCAGCTTTGTAACACATCATAAGAGGAGAGAACCCAAGTATCTTTTGCTTTTTAATGTTGTTCCAAGATATCATCTTGCACACTGGATAGATTTGGTCAGGACAGGACTGAGCAGTGCATAGCCCAGTTCCTCACTAGTAGTGTCCAGCTTGGCTCCTCCTAAACAAAGTCCTGATGCTGTGAGTTCAGAGCAAAAGGCAGCAACAGGGATATGAAGTTTATGGGTGAGAGGACACTTTGATTCTGGCTCCTAAGAGTTTATTAGCTAAATGGCTAAAGCCAATACAAAAAGGTTCAAAGAGAAATGGTCAAAGAGTAGACCAGTACTTCATAGTCCTGCTAGTTTCCAGCAACTTTTGTTGTAGTTGAATATGTTTTTACCATTAGTCTTACTGGCTTCAGTTTTTGCCTTTCTTCTCTTTTCCTTTGCCAATATAGTTGAACCAAGTCTACTCTCAAGGTGTTGATATGGCCTCAGTTTCTCATTATATCAGGTCTTAAACTCAAAAGTTAAATCCTGTACCTGCTGCATTAGTCTTCAGTTACTGCTCACATGATATGAAGGAAAGGATTTCAATAAACTGTTCAATAAACATGCATTTGTTGCCTGGTCTAAGTGCTTTATAGAGTTTAATATATTCTACAAATAAATAGAGAATTAATAGTAACTATGTAAAATGTAGTAACAATAATTATATACTGATCAAATAGGTGGGCTAATATCCCTTGCTTTCTAACAACGCATTTTTTAAAATTACCCATTTCCTGGGAGTTGATTAGAAAAGAGTGATAAACTTCCAGACCCCAGGCTGAAGTTATGCAGATGTTTTGTTTCTGCCAGTAGCTAAGAGATCAAAAGGATATAAACAGCTAAAAAAGCTGACATAGGAAAGGAAGGGATCCAGACACACAGGCTGGCATTAGCAGAGACCTTTTTGGAGAAAGCCCAACAAGGTAAGGATTTTCTGGGATCTGGAGAACAGCATCTCTTGGGGAAAGGCAAGAATACACCTAAAGGATTTTGTTGACTAAGGTCAGTTTTCTCATAAATTCTTCATCTCCTAATAAGTCAAACCATGCTTTATGTAATCTGTCTGTGCACTATTCCCATTGTCTCTGCTTCTGAACTCTTACCTGTGCTCATGGGGGATCATAGAATTCCAGGCTTGACACTGGATACCACTTTTGGTAACAGATATTGTTCCTTTGTAGTCTGCGCCTTTTCCAATGATACAATTCCTGACATAGTCTATTGAAAGAAAAGAGAAGAAAAGTAGGAGTTTGGTTAATGTATTTAAAATTAGAGCTCATCATCAGTTTTCACATAAAGATAATATATTTCTGATAGCCTTTAAATACTTAATTATTCAAAATACTGTTTAATCGTCCACATACATTCTTCTCTCTCTCTTTTTTTTTTTTTTTTTTTTCCAAAATATTGATTGCTAACTTCCAAAAGAAAGCTACTGAAAAAGATTCCAAAGTATCTGGTTGACTAAAAGTCTGTGTCTGAGGACTTAAGTCTCCACTCATTAATGAGATAAAGAGAAGCAATATTAAATCAATAACAGTAACTCATACAACTGAGCTTTTAAGCACAAAACTGAAGTAGCAATTCAGACTAGTACATATGATGGTAGGCAAATATGTAGGTTGGAAAACTGAGCAAGAGCAAGTATGTAGATGAACTTGCATGACAGCAAAACCAGGGTATTTGTAAATAAAACTGTAGGATGCAGCTTTCAGAATGCATAAAACCGTCCCATGCCCAGGATGTGCTCCTACAGTCAAGAAGTCACTGACTGACCTCAGCTTTTTTCCCTGTCCATAGTTGGAAAAACAAAATCAGTAAATAAATCAGTTACCCTTCTTTTCATACAGATCAAACGCATGGTCTTGCTTCTTTCTCACACCATTTGTCAAGCTGTTGAAGGATAACCAATGGCACCGTTTTGTAACTCTGTCATAAGCAAAGGCCCTGCAAAGAAATTTTGGATGAGAAAAAAAATGTCTGTGTGGTTTATAATGACACATGGCCTGCCAAGGAGCATGCAATGACATCAGATTTATTTTTACTGGGAAAGTCAGAGAAACAGTCCAAATTACTATTTAAACCCACAACTGTGCTGACAAGGACAAGGAAACAAAGAAATTAAATTGATGTGGCCATTACATGAAATACCAGCTTGGTTGTTCACACTAATCTAAGAGTTCTCTTGTCATTAAAGATCTTTATTTTAAAAGTGAGATAAATGTGACTGAGACAGCATTTATGCCCCCAGTTGTGCTGCTTCCTGGGGAAAAAAAAAAAACATCTTCTCTGCTGTTCTTATAATATGCCACTGAAACAGTTAAGTATTTCACACTGATGGCTTGAGGAAAATTCAAGCACAAGGAGTCTGTTTCTTGCCTAGAAGAAGAGAGCTGTTTAAAAATAAGATTATTTTTATTTTTATTTTTATGAATAATCTAAACTGTGATAGTGCACCTACAGCTTGTCCTTGCTTTGCTTTTGTTTTCTTTTTTCCTCTTATTTTTAACCGCTTTCAAGGATAGAGTACAACATGTGCTGAATTGAGTGGATATTTTGGGGACCAGAAAGACAAACAGAAATCAGAAGAGTAAAAACACTTTCTTTCAAATTTTTAAATTAGACATGCAGACTTTTTTCTCCTAATGTCATTTTGAAAGGAAATTCCTTAGGTGTAGGTAAAATACTTTTAAGGATTTTAAAAGCACAGTTGACTGCCTGGGTGGGGGCAACAGTTACTCCAATAAGAAAACAAACAAACAAACAAAAACAACACCCCCCAAAAAACCACCGACAATTCTTTTCTTCTCTTAATTTCTCATTAGTATCTAATAGCAATCAGTGACACGATACTATTGTCTCTCACCCACCACAAACTCTACATTTCTGTCAAGTCATCCCAAACCTTCTGAGATATTTTATTCTGACCTGAGAAGGCATTTTAACACTACTATAGTATCAAAAGACACAGGGATTCCTACACTACATCTGTACTTTGGCTGTGCCATATTCCTGAGCACTCCATCCCTCAACTCAAAGCTCTTTGATCTTCATTTAATTTACCATACCAGTTTTTCTGTGTGAGATCTTGTTAAAAATATTATAAGATGCTACCCAGCCTCCCCTCTCTTCTCTCTTTCAAACATCCTCTTCATTATCGTTTCCATCACCAAACAGATTTTTCATCCAACTGCTCTCTCTACTCTGTTGACTCCAAATGTTTCCAACCTGCTAACCTTCATCCTTCTGCCCTTGTTCAGCCTTCTGTTCTCCCCTGGCTGGTTCTCAAATATGAGTGTATCCAAGTGCCTCTAACTCTATCTTCACAAAAATATCCTTGACCTTTCCTGCCTTTCCAATTACATTCTCCTTTCCTCTCCTCCCTCCTAAAGTGGGAATGCAGAATACACTGTTTACAAACATTTCTTTCAGGTTTTGCCTTTCAGTCACCTTTTGGTTTCTTTCCAGTTTGGCTTCAGCCACTTATGCACATTAAAGTTTCTAACAATCTTTTCTTGGACCAAATCTGAAGGCTTTTTACGCTTCCAAAGTCAACATATTTAAGCAAATTCTTGGACTTTCTTCTACTGATACAGCCGATCACAACAATTTTTGTTCTTGCTATTTGTACTGAGATTGTTGGTAGATTTTCTGATCAGATACTGAAATCCTGTGGTCTATACTGGAATCCCTTTCTGTTACATATATATCTACATAAAATACAAAGACACTCCAGAAATTAAGCAGATAACAAAGAATAAGATAAGCACAGCTTTGTAGGTAAGGAAGTGACATGCCTGTAAGTGTCATCTGCACAGCCAATAAAATAGTAACTATAGCATCTTTCTCTTATGTAGTTGGAAAAGCTGCAAGGATGACTCAAGGAAAACAGGGGGAGTAATGGTCAGCAAATGGTGGTGAAACAAAGGAGTAAGAACAGGTTAGCAGCAGATTAGTAAAGCTGATAGGGAAGGCAGAAAAAGATGCACAGAGAGTTATGGAGTCAAAAACACGAGGTAAGTGACTTAAGTTAACACTTAAGAAAATGTTAACTTCTCTTCTTAGTTTAGAATGCTCCCACAGCAACCAGTAAAGTAACTGGTTTTCAGTTAAGTTGGCAATAAATTTCACCTTGTAGTAACCATATGCTGGTATGAAATTAAAGACTGGAGATCCTAGCAATAAAAGGGAAACATTAGTAATCATTGGTTCCTTTAAAAGGGAACACATGTCAAATATGTGTTTACAGCAGCATCAAAGAATTTGCATGCTACAACAGGACTTATCTAGGGTCAAATGGGAAACCACAGAAAATCCCTCTTGCTCTGCTATACAGTGGTAGCACAGGCAAGACCTAATCACCTACACCTCTGCTGCTAGCCTTCCTTGCCAAAAATGTGTCAGAGCAAATTGGGAATTCAGAGCAGTCAGATTTGTAATTCTTTTTCATCTTCAGTGCAAAATAATTACATGACTGATTGCAATTCTGCTATCTGTGAGTAGGACTCTTCCAAGCTGTATTCTCAAAGTCCCTTATGGCTCCTCTATGTTGCTTTCTTGACTGATTACATTAGGGAGAATTTGCCCCTTAATGAATGCATCAGCCATTACCCCAATAGAAAAAAAAAAAAAAAAAAAAAAAAAAAAAAAAAGAAAATTTTTAAAATTCAGAGATTCTAGATTATTATTCATGTAAAATAGACTCAACAAATATATTATCTAGTTTTTATTTTCAGAACACAAAACACACCATCCAAAGGAGCTAGAACTAGCTTGAGACAATTTTCCTAAGCAGATGTTGGAACACAGAATTGTTATCTGCTTGGCATCATTCAGAATTTTTTTATACTGTAAAACCTAATTTTGTAATACTCCTCACTGCTGATCATTAGAACTCAAGGAGCTCTTGCTATATTGAATACAACCTGATCTACTTGGCAATGATATCGGTGGAAGCTCTGCCAATAGGAAAAGGAGTGGTTTGTACCATGTGAAAAATATTAGTGCCTGGAAAATATTTTCTAGCAGAACTAAGTAAACTCTGTTCTTTGTATATATATAAGTAGTCAAAGTACAAAACAATACAAACTAGATCTTGCAACACTGGAATTAAAGGCTTAAAGAAGGATTAAATTACAGTTGAGGACCTTTTCTGCCAGGGAAGAACTTTTGTTATCATATTTGGTCTAGCTTCCCTTTGTGGTGATTGTCAAAACTTCTTTATGTTTCAAGATCAGGCTCACATTTAGCCCGGTACTCACCAATTCAGAAGTCATCCATTCTCTCCAAGATTCTCCTGCATTCGTGTCCTTTCATTTATTGCTAATGGTCTAGACTAAGAGAGGCCAGGGGGATAATTTAAGTCTAATACATGGGAAAAATAATGGTGATTTGTTCCAAAAAATAGTAGAGAATATGTACAAGGCAGACAAGCAATCAGCTGTATGATGTGTTTCTAAGAGACAGCAGATGCTGAAGAATAGCTATCACATACTCGTAATGATTGTGCAGCCCAGAAGGTTTGATTCCATTGTATCAGATTCGTTGTACTTGCCAGTGAACTTCAGCAGCACATGTATCTGTGCTCCATGTGTGAGGTTCCCATTGATTTCAGCA